GGTCAGATGCCGCGTGCCTCGGAGACAGCGGACGAAGATGTGCTTGCTGGAGAGCTGGCGTGGGGTTAGTGCGAGCTAACGACTCAACCGGATTTTGTTAGGGATTGGGTCGGTGGTACTGACATGGGCACACAGAGTTCCAGAAACCAGCAAGCCTGGTAGAGCGATGCCGTAGGAGATCTTCTTGATCAGTACACCAGCGGAGCCCAGAGCTGGCGAGGCGACGTAGGAGCCGCAGTAATAGTAGACGACGATGCCGATGGTGATGTAGGTGATCGTCACGACACTTTGGCAGAGTAAGAGGGACTTCGGGTAATGACGGGGCTCGCTCATCTCGGCTACAATGGAGAAGAAAGCCGGGGTGCCCGCGTACGCGAAGACCAAAGTGTTGATGGCGGAGATGGCGTCGGTGAAGCTGGGGCTGGCGACGATCTTGTAGTCGGATCTCCAGACTCCTTCTTGCGGTGCGGCAGCCGGACGGTCTTGGATTCCCACGGCGATGGTGACGATTAAGACTGGGCATATCAGTAAGACGACTTCTGGGGTGTTGGTAGATTGCTTCACCCACCAGCGGTAAGAATGCATCCTACACCAACCCACGCCAGCCAGGTGATCCGACCTAGCGTCCGGATGCTGGAGAGCAAGAACAGGATGATGGCGGCGACGGCGACGAAGACGGCCGTACACGCGCCATGGGTGGAGAGCGCATTGAGAGCGATGGAGGTGCTGAGCATCGCGGACCCTGAAGTAAATACGAAGAGGAGGCAAAAGGCCCAGCCGAACAGTTCGCGACCCCATCGGCCGAACAAGAGCTGGCCGACATCGTCGACGCCGTAAACGTGGCGGTGCCGTAGCTTGAACACACCCACTATGTAGTCGGACCAGGTGGTGATCCCGGCTATAGTACAGAGGAGGATAACTCCGGGGACAATCCCAACGGTGTCAAAAACCGAGGGAATTGAAAGCACTCCAAGACCCATCTGTGTCTTCATCATGAGAACCGAGGTTCCAAGCCATCCAACCTGGGATGGTGTCAGTGGGCCCCGGATTCGTGATTCAAGGGCTATACTCACATTCCTGTAGTTGGGTCCATCTTCTGATATCACACCGAAGACTGCATCATGCGCGACGGCGTTTTCATCCTCCACCTCGCCGATCGCTGGCTCGAGGTCGCTGCCGGGTTCATCTTTGGTGTTTGGTGGTGGCTTGGACATGTCGGGTGTTTTGTGTTTAGTAGAAGAGACCGCTAGATCAACAGCCGGTCCTAATTGAAAGAACGGAACAATAAGTCTGACTTCTGAAAAAAGTTAAAACTACAACGCGCAGAAGGATATTTTGGGAGAGAAAAAGATGAGTCGAAGCGGAATGACTCCGTAGAGCGGAGATTGGGGGAAAGGCACATCAAAGAACCTTAAACTAAGCCAGTTTCCATTTAGTAACGCTGGTCTCAACCATTGAACATATAACACTCCGACCTTAGTATACTTGGGGGTTTCCAATTAAAGATAAGCTTCATCTGTTAGTGTGTTGGGGGTACAGACCCACCTACACGACGACTTCGGCTTGCCTCGAGACGATGTACAGTTGAAGTTACTGCATGTGTATATAGTAGTAACAGTAGTACGACGCCAACTGAAGCCTTTTCTTCTTGCCATGTGAAGCTGTACTGTTGACAACCCAGCCATTGATACCATGATAAAGGCATTATCATACATACTGATGATCTTATCTGACTTTCCATAGTGGCATCTCCACCGTAACAGGCAGGCTTCGACAACACTTCCCAATTGCGCCAAGATCTGCAGCACCATCCTTGTATTGGATTGGTTTGACAGTGCGTCTTGTGCCAGGCCTGACTGAGATACTGACAAGCAGGATGTTCATAGATTGGCATTGGGAGTGAGTGTGATGTCAACCAGCAACCGCAGACGTTCCGTCGCTCTAGCCATGACATGACACCCGCGCTGATGGAAGATCATCAGGCCTCATCTGGCGACGCCTCTGCAATTCTAAAGAGAATGTAGGTACAGGGGCTCGACTAGCTGGTGAGAACAACACACCACAGCTTGCACGAAGTACCACAGCAGGCCTTGTGCAGGCGCAACGGTAACTACAGTAGCAGACAAGATGAGGTGGTCATGCGACCTCCGATCTCGGATCCATACGAGCCTAAGCCTATCGTGGCGGACTATGTCTGCCTCAGGCATCAGACGGATGCATTTAATGAACGAATGTTCTCCCAAGCACACCCGCCGGGCGGTACATCACGTGCCGATTGATGGACCAATCACCACCGCGGCTGGCGATAAGCGAGCCCGCACTGGAATTCCCACCAGCGAAAAACCGACCATCTCGAAATCTCCTCCATCCTTGACCGTCGACGACCTCTATAGCCCACGACAGCCGACATCTCTGTCCCTATTCAGTGAGTTCTTGTCGCCAGCACCTGCGCCTCGCCATTCTTGCGTCCGTCTGTTCCGAAAACTAATCACATTTTTTTTCGTTTCCATCGCAGAAATGTCCAGCACCGTCAACAAGACCGGCAAGAAGACCCGCTCGGCCATCGCCGATGTGGTGTCCCGCGAGTACACCATCAACATGCACAAGAGAGTACGTTGAAACACCAACCACATTGCGATCCAATCTTTTCCGACAGGAACTCCGGTTTCTCTATAATTCCCCCTTCCCCTCAAGCGACATGCGAAACGGAACCCAACCGCAAATCGTTGTCGGAGGTCATGGATGGAGAACAAGAAAGAAGAAGACAACACAAACAAACGATGGATGAAGACCACGAAGCGGCGCACAAGATCAAAATCTCTCCAAACTCTTGGCATCTGAAAAGAAACGAGGGCAAACGAGAACAAGAAGCAGCCCAAGGGTTTTCTACAACCCCATCATCATCATCGTTGTTGTTGTTAGGATTGTGTGGAGGAACAACCTCGGGGGTTCCATTTGCCAGAAAAACGAGTCGTGATGGTCTAAAAATCCATCATTGGCTTGGTTTTCTTGGTCACCACACGCATCTCCAAAAAGAAGAATTAGTTTTATGAAGTCCACCTCAAGGCCGAAATTCGCTCGCAAACACTTGTTTTGCAAGATTTTCTTCCCACATCATTTTTCCCCATTTTTGCACAACAAAAAAAGATGGCATTCGGGCGGAAGACTAATATTTCTTCTTTTTGGGTAAAATTAGATGCACGGTGTTAGCTTCAAGAAGCGTGCTCCCCGCGCTATCAAGGAGATCCGCGCCTTCGCTGAGCGTGCTATGGTGAGTCTATCCTATCTCCTGATCGCCCCGTACCAACGTCCTCCATCTGAGGAATCTTGTACGGGCAACCCTCCGCGAAAGTATCACTAACCCCCCCGGGAACTCTAGGGCACCACCGACGTCCGCGTCGACCCCCAGCTCAACAAGAAGGTCTGGGAGGCCGGTATCAAGGGCGTCCCCTTCCGTCTCCGTGTCCGCATCTCCCGCAAGCGTAACGACGAGGAGGGCGCCAAGGAGAAGCTCTACTCCTACGTCCAGGCCGTCAACGTCAAGGAGGCCAAGGGTCTCCACACCGTCGTTGTTGATGATGAGTAAATCTTCAACGAATGACAGTGCTTGATATCCCCTCTGAATACAAAAAAAACGGTCCTCATTGTATGAAACCAAAATTTCTTTCCTAGAATAATGAATGGGACAATATGATGTCGGGTGGTTTGCTGGAACCAATCTTCTTTTTCTTGCTGCCTTGTCTTTCTAATGTAGTGTGATGGGATCGTAACTACTGTAAGGATCAATCAGGCGGATGCTTCTGGTGTTGGACTCGTGGTTCTTATGCAAGCTAAGTCAACAGAGAGCTTGTCTCTATCATCTATGTCTCTGGCCAAAAAAAAATGCAGGCATGTCAAAGCAAAGACTAAGTACTACGCTCTTCCCTATCTGTCGCTACATGATTCACCAGTTTTAAAGCCATATGCACAAAGAATTACCATTTGTATTCCCCTAAGATTCCATCCTAAGCACAATATGCACCAGTGATAACGACAACCCCCCACCCCCAACCAAGGATGAATCCCACTGCACTGCGCTGCGTGTATCAAGTGTTAAGTGCAAAGCAAATCTGGCAAAAGTTCAAGAAATCAAAGTCTTCTTTCCTCTAATAATACAACGACGATTTCAAGGTGTCATGAAAACCGATTTAAGGAAGCCAAACCTGAAAAAAAAAACCAGACCCCCTTATGAACAAGAGACAAAATCCCATTTTCAGGAAGAAATGCAAACGGCACAACACGTTCGAAGAAAAAAAAAAGTGTTCTTGCCTTTCAAATCCACAGAGACACTCGCTATGCTAGAATGCGCCTGTTTCTCCTCCTGGTTGGACAGACGAAGACAAGAAAAAAAAGACACAACGATCGCTATTCCCGATGATGCAGTTGCGGTCAACTCGAGAGATGCAGAACAGAAAAAAAGAACACTGTAAATACAAATATGCCTTGAATCCATGGGGAAGAAGAAACAGGAAGATATTTCCCTCTCATCGAAGACAAGAAAGCATGGACAAGAAACGGTGAAGTAGAGGGAAAGGTAGATATCAAGAAGTAGGACTCAGGATCCGTGGAATGGGAACGGATCACGAAGAAACCACAGTAAGGCGGCTGGAAGTATGTAAAATCAGATAAACATCGCCAAAAGAACCCCTGTTGAACTCACATGACTTTCAAAGCTAACCCTCTCTTAGGTTCGTGAGTCGCAGTGGTTAAAGAAACGGATTTTTGGGAGTACGGAGACCAGGCATCCATCCCAATTCAGATAGACCAGAGTAGAGCCTGTGTTGCTCAAGAGTCGCTTGTTACAAGGGGGGAAATGCCTTGAACACTTGCGCAAGGAGAAAGAGTTTCAAAAACAAACCAGAGTACATTCGCTCGCACCTTACGCCGCCGGCCCGATCATGAAAAATGTGTCCAAATACGTTTGTGTGGACACAATTCGTTGGTAGTGCTCCAGTGCAAAACTAAGATTTAGTCTCCTCCATCGCCTTGCTGAGACGTTCTGCATCGTCTTTCGTCTTAACCCGGAGAGCCCACAAGACCGGCGGTCCTTCGGCTTGAGGTACCATAAACTGGACACTGTTGCCGGACGCTTTGTATGAGATGGCCTTAACCAGATATGTGTTGAGAACGACGTTTCCGCTCGGGTCGGCTCTGACAAGAATACGACCGCGGGAGGTGGTCCGATGCTTCAAGACGCGGATGAATCCAACGCCCTGACTCTCCCAGGCGCCATCGGTTTTGTTGTGCTTCATTGCACGAGCTCGGTTCTCGAGAACAACATCTTCGTCTTCTTCACCGGCTCCAGTGCGGAGATCGGCCTGGGGTAGATTTTCAGCTGCATCTCCATCGCCGGACTCTTCCGCTCCAGTGTCGGAAGCGACACCAGGGGTGGACTGGCGGCTAGTTGTAGCCGACGCAAGAGCCGACGACCCTAGCACGGAGGGAGTCTGGAGGGACGGATTCCCAAAAGAAAAGCCAGTCGAAGGTTGGGTGCTACCAGATCCAGCCTTGTTCAGAGATGACGGGGCACCGAAGAGAGAAGAAAACGGCTTGGGGGGTTCAGCTGCCGCCGGAGTTGCAGATCCCGAAGCAGATGGGCTAGCTGCGAACTTAATCGGAGAGTCAGGCTTCCAAGTATTATCACCGGACGGCTTCGAGAAGATGGATGGAGTAGCACCGCCAGGGCTGGAGCCAGCAGAACTGAAAATGCTAGATCCTGTGTTTGCGGTACCAAAAAGGTTGCTTGTCGCAGGCTTGAGTGCTGACTTCTCAGAGTCAGATGTGCCACCTTGTGTGGAAGAAACTGGCGTGTTAAGAGACGAGGAGAATTTCGAGGAGCCAAATAGTGTAGAAACAGGGTTCTTCTGTTCTTCATCGGCTTGACGCTTAGGTTCGGAGACACGGTCAAACAAGCTTCGGCCACCCGCTACTGCATCCGTATTGCTGGCCGGCTTCGACTTCTGAAGGGCCTTCGCAAAGTCACCATCCTCGCTGCTGAGTGCAGGAGAATCTGCGGCGTTAGAGGCAAAGTCACTGGTCGATGTCTTCGCCACGTCCTCCTGATCATCCCCTACGTCTGAAGCCGCTTCGGTGTTGTTGTCTTCGTCATCGACATTGTCATTGACATCGTCGTCGGCTTCAGAGGGAGTAGCTGACAAATGTCCAAAGATGTTGCTGGACTTAGGTGCAGACTTTTCTTGGTTGTCAAAGACGGAAGCGCCAGAGTTGTTTGCAACAGCAACTTCTCCGGTCTTCTCGGGCTCAATAGCCTCGTCCTCAAAAACAAATCCTTTGCCAGGAACAAATTTAGCATGCTTCTTGCCTCGAGCGGCATGCTCCTCTTGCTTCTTGCGCTGTTGTTCGGCATCTTTGCGCTCCCACTCAGCTTCATCCTCCTCGTCGGAATCGAAGTCCTCTGCTTTGCGCTTAGCTTTCTCTTTCTCGGCATCCTTTTCGGATTGAGCCTTGAATTGAGCGAAGAAGTTACCACCGGCTGGGGCACTGAACTTGGGGGGAGCGGGCAAGGAGCTTGTAGAGGTTCCATTTTCCTGGCTGCCCAGAGGCTTGAGGACAAAAGGATTCTTTGGTGCAGTTCCACTGGATGCACTAGATGTTGTTGCCGCACTTGACATCGAGGATGAGAAGAGCGAGGTAGAGGTCGAACCTTGCGTGGTTGAACTTGAAAACGACAGTTGTGGCTTGGCTGACTCAGTCGCCGGTGTCGCAGAGACCAACACAGGCTTGGCTGCTGGAGTGGATGGCTTCGAGGGGGTTTTCTCATGGGTGGAGTCCTGGTCAGACTCAGTAGTCTTCGATTTGGAGAATGACTGTGCGAAGATGTTGGCTGTGGTCGAATCGCCATTGACACGTTTGGGGGTACCATTGACTTCGCCATCATCAATCGATCTTCTCTTCTTACTGTTGGGAGACGCATCCTGAGTTGTCCCGAATGTCTTCCCAGCACTGGATGTGGCAGCTTGGGTGGGAACATCTGCATCGATGGGAGTACCCGATTTCACCTTCTTGGATACTACACCATTGGGAGCATCTTCTGCGGCCTTGCGCTTGGTAGCAACAGGCATTCCAATGGTATCACGAACCCGGAGATAGAACTGCAGGATTGCATCAAAGTCTTTGCCAGATGGATCGGCATTGGCCACCTCGCGCTTGAAGCATTCATTCAAAGTGCGAAGACGATGAACCGATTCGACGTCAGCCTTGACGGCATTGTCCACAGCTCCTGCAACCTTGGGAGATTCCAGATCCTTAAAGTTGGAGGACTTGGACAATTGACTGCCTGTAGCTGGCGCGGTTGACTTCTCTCCGTTGACCTTGAACAGACTTTGAGGTGCTGCGGCGGGAGTGGAGGCTGCCGGCTTTGGAGTAAAGACACTAGGAGTAGAGGGTGAGGTAGCTGCGGCAGGAGATGAGAAAAGGGCCGGAGGATTGGCTGGCTTCTCGGCTTGACTAAATTTGGGTGTCTCTGTGGGTTTGGGTGAGAGTAGATTGCCGAAGGGATTTGCGGGTGCTGGCTTTTGCTCAGGCACCGACTCGCTCGAGGTCGCGGGCTTCGGCGCATTGAACAGATTACCGAAAGGATTTGTTACTGCCGCCTTGGGCTTCTCCTGGTCTGAAGATGCTGTCGTCTTCGGCGCGAAAAGGTTTCCGGTTGATGAGGGTTGAGACGATCCAGTCGAAGGAGCTGGAGCTGCAGAGCTGGCGCCAGCATTCGAAAACAATGAGGGAGCTGTAGTCGCCGGCGAATTGAATTGAAATGTGTTCTTCGGTTTATCTGCAGTTTTCGGCTCCTGATCCTTCTTCTCTTCGGATGGCTTCTGTGTGCTGGAAGGTGCACCTGAGAAAAGGTTTGAAGATTGGAAAGGGGTTTTGAAGGGAGTGGCTGGACTAGCCGACGGCGCAGCGCCGAACAGGCCAGTGAACGGAGCGTTAGTAGCAGCAGGCGCTGTTGCTGGCTTTGAGGCTGTAGACGCGGCCGTGCTCTGAGTGGGAGTGGCGCCAAAGATAGGGGCGGAAGCAGGAGTTTGCTCGGTCGGCTTGGCTCCAAACAAAAACTTCGCTGGAGATTCGCTAGACGAGGTCGATGCGCCAGTGAAAGCGCCGCCAAAGAGTGGCTTGCTGTCACTCTTGGTGCTGTCTTCCTTGGAGGGAGCCGGTGAGCTAGGCGTTGAGCTTACACTGGTACTAGGGAAAGAAGACTTCTGGCTGGTGACTGATTTAGCATCTGGAGAGGTATGCATTGAGTCCGATCCTCCAAATGGACTCGACTGGCCAAAGACGGAGGGCTTGGCTGCACTGGATTGGCCAAATATGCCATTGGAAGGTGCAGAAGCGGTAGTGCTCTGACCGAAGATATTGGTTGTGGTAGGGGTTGCAGTTCCGTTTTGCGTAGAGGATCCAGCACTGTTGCTTGCAAAGAGACCTCCGGTGTTACTCTGTGCGCCCCCGGCTCCGAAGAGTGGGCCAGAGGGTAAGGGTTGCTGTTGCTGGGTTGCAGACTGGTTTCCAGCTGGCGGGGCGCTGAAAATAGAGCCTTGGAACCCTGAGAAGGCTGCTGGCTGCTGAGCCGACTGCTGAGTAGTACTCGCGGTGTTCATGCTTGCGAAAGGATTATTTGCTTGAGGGCCACCGAATGAGGATGAGAAACTGAAAGAAGACGATCCTGCACCACTTGGTGTGCTTGCACCGAAAGAGAACGGGGTCGAGCCACTTTGCGTGGACTGGCTGGGCGTCGAGTTCGCACCCGGAAAACTTTGGTTCTGTCCAAATGTAAATCCCGTAGATGGGGGTTGCGAGCTCGCCATTGGGGAGGATACTGTGTTGGGGTCAATGGGATTGAAGGCGCCACCAAACGTCGGGGCAGGTGCACCTGCGTTGCCCGCGGGTGTTTGGCGTCTAGAGCGCATTGGTCGAATTCTGAAAAGCGTGTCAGTCAAGGTTTACGTCTGTCAAAAACGTGTGAAGGACGATATGTGACGAATATGAGAGGAAGAAGGGCAGTGAAACATGAGATCAAGAGATGGAACGATGGGGGAGCAGGAGGGAAGAAAGAAAACACGCAAGGGAGGAAAAACACAAGGTTAATTCGACGTGTTACTCCGTCGCAGGGCACGTCGAGGCTGCAGGGAGAAATAAAATTCATGCATGAGAGGCTCCGCAAAGGTCGGTCTACATTCACTTACTTTCTGGCCGCCAGCTGCGCGGCAGTTGCCCGCTGTGGCTTTTCTTCCGGTGTGTTGTTCATGTTGAAATCGGCCATTCGATCATCAGAGCTGCCCCCTTGGCCACCCTGGGCGCTTCTTTTAGACATGTATTATCCAACTATTGCGACGTCTTCAGCTGCGATGTGGACAAAGCAGCGTTCAATGGAGCCTCTCCTTGAAAGGTTGGCTCTCATGCACGATTGACAGCAATCTGCGGGCGCGCGGTGTATTCTGAGACTGAAAGCTTGCTCTAATCCAGCGCCGGCTATCTTCGAGTGCGTTAAGCTCGAAAGGTTAGGAAGTACACCTGCAATCGTTCTGTGCGCGGCACTGCGGGTGGAGTGTACACGAGGGTTAAGAGTGTCGGTATGGGTGGTTAGAGATTCGGCGAACTTGGCAATGTCGGGCAATCGCGTGGTGTCTACTTCGAGCACTGTTTACAAATTCCTCGAAGGACTGACGAAGGCGGGTTGAAATAATGTGAGGGAGGAAGTCGCACGCTCGTTCTTGTTCCGTATCCGGGGTGATGAGGAGAGGAGCGCAGCGCGCGAAGACAAGCGAGGAGATAAGGCGGAGGAACCCGACGGATGCGAAGAGACTAGAGGCAGAGCAACAGGCCTCACAGGCTGAGTATGGGGTATATCGATGAAAGGCGCCTTCGTTTCGATGTGCTCTGCCTGCGGGAGGGGATGGGGTTGTGGTTTTTTTAGCCTTTACTTTGCGGACTCGCGACTCTTGCGGGCAGGAAGGAAGACGCTGGCAGAAAAAATTACTGTCACGTGATCACACGCAAGGCAACATCAGACCAGCATGACATAATACCTAACAAGCAAGAGGTCACTCAGGTAGTGAATAGTTACACGTTGCGACCGTTGCTAGGCTGAAGGAGTCTAATATTATCAATGTACATAAGCTCCCCTGATGCCTTGTAACTAAAATGAGTCTACTTAGGGACCTTCCACCAGGTTATTCATATTCCCTGAGGGAACTTGGAAAGAGTTTCTTTGATCACCTTGTTCTCCCCAGTCAGTCCGTGTGTCATCCGCTCCCGGTAAGTTAACTAACTAGTTAACTAGACCATGTATTGTACTGTTACGTCCCCGTTACCCTGCAAGAGAAGAGCGGAAGAAAAGCATGTAAGATTACGGGGTCATGCACCCTCCTTGTTTCCATGGCAAGAACATGAACAATGCAGTGCAGCTGACAGCCAAGTGGCACGCCTCCTTCTTCGCCTTGGAATACTAGCAGGGGGGATATGTCTCGCCTTTTATTCCTCAGATGCTTCCCCTTCATGTCTGACATGAGGAGTTATTTTACACCCTTTTTTCTGGAAAATACCCATAAAAGAATACGTTGTATATATCCAGCCCATGCACATTCTGTACGCAGTACCCCCTGCTCAATATGGTACACTGGCAAAGCCACAAGCAATCATTTTGATTACATCCATCGCACCCGACGTGCATGAGTCTTTTCCATTTCCACAAGGGGATTGCCGATTTCACTATCCCTGTCTGCCTCGGAAGTTGAGACACCCATATCCAGAACATCCTCTACAGCAGAATCCCGGCCCTTCATTCGAGAAGGGATAACGGACTGTCGCGCTCGTCATGATAGTTATGCTGAGTATGCAAGTCCTTCTAAATTCTTAAGTTGGCCTATCAATCTTCTGCTGGAAATAGCTATACAGGAAGGGCAGAGAAACGCGTGTAAGACGAAAAAAATCGATCCAGAAATCCAAAAGGGTATCTATAGCTTGGCCTTGCTCTGGGCCTTCTTCAAAACAGGCTCCATCTTGGTCGCCTTCATGATGTTGCCCTTGATCTTGAGCTTACCACCCATGAATAAGCGCTGAGCATTGGCCTTGCCGCTAACAAGGGAGCCGAAGTCCTCATCAGAAAGCGAGAGAGTGACTGTCGCAACAAGATTAGCATTCCGACAGAGTGCGGTTGTACGGACCACGAGAAAAGCGAGGTACTTACCGTCAGCTTTTCCACCCTGGGGGGCGGCCCCCTTTCCCACGACTCCCTTGTCCTTGAGATCTAGGTACCAACTCTCCTCTTTACCCTCGGAGTTTTTGAGGCTGAAGGAGACCACGGCCTTGGCCTTATCAATGGCGTCTTTGCGCTCGCCGGCGTCCGACTGCAGGGCAGCGTTGATCACATCGAATGCGGCGGAGGAGGGAAATGCGTCTGTAGAAGCGGCATTCGCGTTAGCCACAGTAAGACAGAAAACTAATGTTTGTTACTGAATCCAGAAATAAGCGTACCGTTCTTGAGACTCATGTTGGCGGTTAGTAACAGAGATGGAAGTCAAGTCTTCAAGGAATGCGAAAGGGTGCTGAAAGGACCGTAAAATTATCGAAGGAGGATCGGAGAGTTCAAAGAAGAACTCAGTGATGAGGATCAAAGGATGTATTAATAAAGTCCGACCCGGGGATTCAGAATTCAGGATTGCAGGATTCAGGCGAGCTACCCCGGAGTATTCGACAGACGGGCGCATGTGAAATAATGGAGGGGTCGCGGGGACCGGCGGTGGGCCGAGGCTGGACAATCCTGTGATTCTTCCGTCACCTGCACCTTCATTAACTGCGTACAGTACAAGGTACAGCAGTAGTGGTCCAGCACCAACTAACTACTTAGGTAACCTAATGGAACCTCACTCTGACTACTCTTTTTTCCAGGCTCTGCAGTATTGTTTAATCCTTACAATCTGAGTCAAGTATCGATACTACAACTTTCTTGCATAGTCCCCCGTTACGCAGTATGATGACTTTTATGTCCTCATTCTTTGTGAATGATGTCAGGTTTCGTCGGGTAGCTGCACCTGGCAGCATACCATGCTGCCTACAGTACTACTGTACTTCACACCGCAAGGAGTCGAAAGAACACACTTGTCAATCAAGGCATAGCTGATCGACAGCTGCACGCCTTCATCGCGGTCTTAAACTTTGGTCTTCGTGACCATAAGTTTGCGCTGCGATAATGATTTACCCTGAATACCCTGAAGATATTCTTCTGATACTTCGTGCATATGCCTTATTATCCGTTCACTGTTACGTCAAATTATTATGGTTAACAATTCAAAACTTGCTCTGATACAGTTCTAGAAGAAACTCATTTTGTGATGCTGACTTATGCTTCGTTCTGGTTCACAGTTCCTCTTTACAAGACATCTGGGGCCAGCCCACATCCCAAGAAGTGGACATTGTCCCCGTACAAGAATACAAAAAGGCAAGATCAAGACAACAGTAAACTGGCAGACAGAAATGGTACCAAGTGCTTTTTCCTTGCTTCATCGATGGCACACCACACCTTTTACACACTCCTTGCACAGCTCTTTTTTCTCTCTCTCAGGAGTCAGCACCTTTCTCATTCGATATGTGGATGAAACAAGACAATTTCTAGAGAACGGGGAGCTTACACAGACTCGAGCCTCGCTCGGACATCAAACAATGATGTCCTCCTTGCGGCGGACAGTGAGCTTTGTGGTCACTGGCGGAAGCTGGAATCGGCCCCATCCTAGCGAGCTTGTCAGCACCCTTGGGCCATGAATATGATATCAAAATCCACTTACTATGGATCTTGGGGCGTGTCTGCATGGGCTGGATGTCATACTTGAGCAGCATCTCGGCCATGAGAACTTTGAAGATGTGGGCAAAGATCCAGCGTCCAGGACACTGGCGACGACCATGTCCGAAGACCACATAGGTGTCGCTGGTTGCAGTGATCAGGTTGTTGCGTCTCTCCTCGGTCGGGGTGTGGGGCGCATAGAAGCGGAAAGGGTTGTACTGATCCGGGGAGGGGTAGACGTCCTGGTCGCGGTGCAGGGCGTACTGCGGGATGCCGACCTTAGTACTGAATGGCAGGTGAAGTCCGTTGCCAAGTTTAACACCGTTGGGAGCCACGACCTGGTGAATGCCAAGATGTCGGTTAGTATTGCCGGATGGAACAATGAATGGGGGTTCAGAGCAACACAGAATGAGAGAGTAACGGATGCTGACCTTTCGAGTAGGAGAGACGGCATTAATACCATTCAGCCGAAGGCTCTCCTTCACAGCACTCTCAAGCAAAACAGCCTTTTGGAGATCTTCAGCAGTCCAAGAACCATCCGAGGGGATGGACTGCATTTCCTCGCAAAGGAGACCAACCAGGTTCTCATCAGAATAGCTAAGAATATCCAGAAGGACACTGGTAGCTGAAACACCACTAGTGTGAACACCAGGGAAATTAATCATGAAAATGCGATATGCCAGCCACATGGTAGTGAGCTCCATTGGCCATTTGCTCCGCATACCGGCCTGGATGAGCAGGTCCAATAGGGATCCCTGGATTATATCAGCAAATGAAAACCAAAGACACACGATGGGCATCTTACTTTTGTCTTGAGGGTCTGCTTCAGAACGTCGGGGTCAGAAGCCTCCTTCTGGTCCTGAATCTTTTTCTCGATGATGGGTTTCAGATGAGCATGGAACACTCTCTCATAGTATCGGTTGACCAGTCCGACGAGAGGGCCAACGACCCTTGTGAAGGAGTTAGGACTTCTGTGAAGACATGCAATGGTGGGATAGGGCACACTTACGGATGGAGGAAAGCTGGAAAGGCTTTGATAACATTCGCACCGAAGACGATAGCATTGGAGCAGTGTGTCAGGGCCGCCAAAAGAGCCTTGTCATCACTGTTGCCAGGCCCAATTGCGAGCACGTTGATCATTCGGCCGGCAGTCTTTTCCATAAACGAATACAGAGGAACTTGCACCCAATTTTCGGTGTCTTCGCCCCAGAACTCGGACAGGCAGGCACGCGCCTCCTCGGCCAGAGACGCGGCAACGGACGGGGTCTTCAGGGTCTCCGATAGATCCTTGCTGATAAGTTTGACATAAAAGTCGTACTTCTCGGCGAAGGCAAGGGGCCAACTTGTGTATGCAAGCTGAAAGAAATCTAGGATATGGGCCTTGAAACTGAATTCGGTCTCCTTGGCAAAGAGAATGGCGTTCGATTCCTTGATAGGAAGCAAGACCTCATCACCTTCGTTCACGCTCGGCATCACAAACGGTTTGTTGTTCTTGGAGTACTAAGAGGCGAAAGAACACAAGTCAGCCAAGGTATCACTCACATATGCTGGCCTTTGTTTCAGGGTCATGGAGGAACCTTTTCATATCCATCCTTAATGAAAGCGATGGGGTTGACACCGATAAAGCGCTCAGTGGCTCGACCAAAGAATCCTTTCTTGCTCAGAATCCAGGGGATTCCTTCAGGAACAGGGGACCTTTCAAACAGCTTGGCGATGAGGCAGGTGATGAAGATCACCACCCCCAAGCCGAGTATGGTGGAGGACTTGGTCTCAAGCAACATCGTGTTCGTTGTTGTTTTTCAGTGTTTGTTGTTGTTTTCACACGGACTTGAGGATCAACGAACGAAGAAGAGAGGATGTGGTGGAAGAAGAAGAAGAAGAAGAAGAAGAAGGAGAAGAAGAAGACGAGTTCAAATGATCAAGAGAAGGACTGTTATATACCCCATACTCTGATATTTTCTTCCACAGTCACAGTTTTCAGGATATCGGCATCTCTCAGTTCCGAAATAACTTCTTTGTCTGAGCAGGGCTTATCAAAATTACTCTGAGACGTTCACTAGCCTCTATTCCTGGTATGGTTCTCTCATTGGCTCACGGACCACGAGTTTGGATATATGATTTTGATATCAAAACTACACAGCCAATGACAGTGCCTCGTCGCACCATGAGCCAGGGCTACCAGTGAAGGAAATTCACAGCTACCGGCCTGATGAGGGGATTTCCCAGCCACGTGGGGAAGTGGAGCTGAAAGCCCTATCTCTGGTGATATTCAGGTACGACTAAATTGTTGAGGGGAGATAAGGGAAGAAAACGGTCACAGCAACAGGCCTGACACTTTTTCGTCCAACTTTGTGGGGTACATACAAATGCTACAAGCTCAAATATCAGTCCATGCAAACGACGGCCAAACAACTAGGAGCTACTCCTCGGGGCCGCCTCCACAATCCACACTCAAATGAACTGAACTCTGCAGACAACTTGGCAGCTAGATTTATCTCAAGCAAAAGAAATCACGGGCTCGGCTATGACACTCGAATTGGGTTGCAAATTCGTCTCCAGCAAGGTACATTCTTCCGAGTCTGAAACATGACGATGCGATGCCGAAGGACACCTGAGAGGACGCGCTCCCGACAACTCGCGTACTAGTCATTGGCAAAGTTGGATGAAAATCAGATCCAGGCTTGGGCTGCGAGATTGAAACCAGACATAGTCATGCCAATCTCATATGGTCTGAAAGGTGCTGATTCTATCCTACGTTGACCCAGAGCCGCTCTCAATCTGCTATGCAGAAGAGTCGCCTGCTTGCCAAGGAGTTCATAGAAATAAGCATTGCTTGGGGTGAGCCCAGTCATACCGAGCTTTGGTCTGTAGTAGCCGCGTTCGTCTCCTGGTAACTTATTGGCTCATCGTCTAATCGGCCTTCTTCTCACCTAAGGTACTAGCTCTACGGCAGTGTTTCTCGTCTTCATGGGGGCACCAACAGCAGGCACCGAGAACAAGATCGAGCGATGCAAGCACATTCCGGCATAAGAATGACGAAGAAGACCGTGGCATATTCTTTGCTTCATAGCCGTTGAGTCAAAACGGTGACGTTTGCGTCATCTCTGTTGAGATGCGCCTAGGGAGATATGAGCCGAACCCATTCTTATGCATTTGCTATTGCGACCATGCAGCTGGACCTCAGCTACTCGAGATAAGAAGTGCCCCCAAGATCGTCTGGAACCTATATTGCCTAGACCTGAAGAAGAAACGGCACCTCGAAATACCTCCCACCCAATGATTTGTCCTGTGTCTTCCACGGTCAAAATCTTCGGCACGTATAGAACGGAATGCCTATGCATGGAAGCCCTTCATATTCTTCATCGTACAATTTTCGTCTTTTTCGTCTCCGATGACACAATTGAGCGTCTCCGAGAGATTAGTCGGGGGAAGATAATGCAGAGGGGATAGTAGAAGGAATGCTTGTGATTGACGACAGGCTTGATGAAGTTGATGGTTAACTTATAGTTTGCATCTGCGCGCTAACCCCCGGATGTGGCTGGTGCTGGACTTTCTACTCACCAGCCACATTCCTCTGTGGCTGACCCCTCCCTCGATCATTAGACGTGTACGGAGTACGGAGTAGTTAGTCAAGCCACAGACGCCACAGACCATCTGGCATGGTCATGCCCCGTACAGAAGTCATGAATCATCGGATTAACAGCTCACGAGTGAGTGGATGATAAGAATATATAAAGTTGATAGATCACTTTTCTTAACACAGCGGAGCCTTAGGGGGAAGAAAACCAAAAATAAAACACAACAATACAATACATAAAGGGCAACCTGAAAAGTGGAAGCAAACAAAAACAAAAAAAAACAACCCGCCAAAGATTGCCACCAGAAGAGCCAACTCGGAACCGCCAACGTCCCTTTCCCGTCAACTCAATTAATTCACTACCGTGTTATCTCCACCTCAGCTCTCTGCTTGCCTTTCCTCATCCATTGAAGTCAACGCAGAACTAATCTCTGTGGTTACGGTCACTGTCTGGACCGGAATTGACCGTGCTGGAGACTATCATTCACCGCAGGGTCGGCGTCATTCTGATCGCAGGGCGTGTTGCCAAGACATCCTCACTCCTCAATCCTCACAATTTTGACGCTCTCCACTCCACTTCTCCATCCAACTGCCTTACTTTAACTCGTACTACTACTTCTCTTACTTAAAATCCCAGCTTAACCACTTAAAGACAGCCATCCCCCAGTCTTGTATCTTCTCTGCCTTTTGCTACCTGGAATACCCTTGTTCTCTGCTTCCATCTCTGTCTCTACATCAAGCACTCTCAAAGTTGTTCTGCTGCTGCTAGTTCCGCCGCCTTTGGTCGGTCGTGGTCTCGACCGGCGCTGCCCGCGCGTGTGTGCCGTGTTGGCTTTCTCCAGAACCAGCAGCTACCATGGCTTCACGCAACAACGATGAGGCGATCCGGGAGGTCCTAGAAGATCTTGAGCTTCAACATGTCATTCTGCAAAGTTTGGAAGAAGAATGCCCCGACGCAGAGCAAGACAGACAAGAGATCTTAGATGTCATTGAGGGCCTAGAGACGCGACTGGCGGTCCTACGCGGGGAGCCCGTCGGCAGAACCGCCAATTCATCTCCGTCCCCCACGCGGAGCTCTAGTATGTCAAGAACATATTTTGACGGCGTTCCAGCCTTCCCTCTTGACAATCCTACGTCCTCTTCGCACAGTGCTGAACGTGCTGCCCGCTCCTTCCCCGGCTCTCCTCTCAATCGAACCAGTCGCAAACGTCAACTATCCACATCCTCTATCGAGGGTGAACACGATGACGGGGACGATGACTCGGATGATCTGGAGGCGCCAATCAGGCGAGAGCAGCGGAAACGGGTTCGTCGCCGCTTGAGCCCTGGTTCTATCTCAAGTCGTCGCTCGGCGGAGGACGAATCCGATGAGGGACTGGACGATGGCAATGACGAGCTGCGCAGGATGCTAGGCCTGGACAGCTTCCGTCTAATGCAGGAGGAGAATCGACGAGCAGAGCGGTGGCTCAAAGCGCAAAAGGAACAGGAACGTCGCGATGCTGAATTTGCGCGCCAGCTTGCGCAGGACGACAGTATCACGCCGCACTCGGCGTTGGCTCGGAGCCCTCCACCTCTTACTGTTCCTAGGCCCCCATTCACCGCTCCAGCTCATAGCAGGCCTGTGCCTCATGCAACCCCTGCATTGTACATTCCAGGCAGTTTTCCCGAGGGACCTCAGCCTCCAAAGCGCCTGCCACCCACTGCGCCTCATTATGATGGCTATAGAGAGTCGAAAGTTGTCACGCTACCGGACGACAGTGATGATAGTGACATCGCAGAAATTGACGGCCAGGATTTCAGACCCAATCTTCTCCGTCCCCCGCTCTCACCGAGAAAGGGTCGCCAGGTATCCAATGACCGCTTCGACACTCATTCTGCAGCATGGAGAAATGGCAAGATGGGTCCGAATGGTCCAAATGATCTTCGAAGCGCCTACTCTCCCTACCTGAATGGACTTGCAGCCGGCCCCAGTGCCTTGGGTCCACCTAGTTCTCGATTCGGGCCTAAAGTCCTGCCCAGTACCATGGCACGACTGAACTCCGGCTCTAGTATGCTCAATGATATGTCAAGCACCGTATCTCAGGCAAGCAGGATCATTTTCGGAGGGTCGGACATCTCGTTTATGGGCCCTGGCGGCTACGAATCAGCTCTGGATTACATGAAGTGAGTACGCTCTGTTGACTTCAAAGGAGGTTTGCTAATCAAGCCCATGCGCAGTGATCTCTACGGGTATGGAGAGGATCCAAAGCAGACTAAAGAGGAAATTATGAAACTCCTAGAGTCTATCAGACCCGACTCTGAAATTTCTAAGGAAAATCGCGAAGGGACCCCTGGGGCACTCAAATTTACACTCCTGGAGCATCAGAAACTTGGTCTCGCGTGGATGAAGTCGATGGAGGAAGGGGAAAATAAAGGTGGAATTCTTGCTGATGACATGGGTCTTGGAAAAACTATTCAAGCCATTGCTCTCATGGTGTCACGGCCTTCCACCAACCCTGAGCGAAAGTCTACGCTGGTTATCGCTCCTGTTGCATTAATTCATCAGTGGAAGAGAGAGATCCAGAGGATACTTAGACCTGGAAAGCATCAGCTTTCAATCCATGTCCTACACGGCGACAAGCGGACTACGACTTTCAAAGATTTGAAGAAGTACGATGTGGTCCTGACTACTTTCGGGACTTTGGCAGCCGAGTTCAAGAAGCTAGAGAAAGCCGAGGAGATCAAAAAACATGACTCAGATCTGGGCATGGGCCTCATGAAAAACTTACCTTGCTTAAGTCCTCTCTCCAAATGGTATCGGGTCATTATCGACGAAGCCCAGTGTATCAAGAACAGGAAAACCAAATCTGCCATGGCGTGCTGCACTCTTCATTCCACGTATCGGTGGTGCATGACCGGTACCCCGATGATGAACTCAGTGGATGAACTGCAGTCGCTTTTGAAGTTTCTGCGGATCGCGCCATATTCCAACCACGAGAAATTCCAACGTGTGAGTCTGGCTCGTATTGCTTCTTCTGCTGATGACCGATGACTAACTTTGATCTCCAAGACTTTCACAAATCCCCTAAAGGGTAGTCCCGCTGGCCGCGAGAAGACAATGCAGGCATTGCAGGTTCTGCTCAAAGCAGTTCTTCTACGGCGCACCAAGACTTCCAATATTGACGGTAAACCCATCCTACAGCTACCGCCCAAGGTGTCCGAGAG